ATGCGGGACTCTGGGTGCAGGGGGACTGTAGATGCAGGTCTCCGAGTCTGCTGCTTCATACTACTCCCTGATTTACATTCACGAGTTCAGAGTCTAAAAGCTTTGGGTTTTAGAAGGAATGTGCATTATTCGTGTTCATTACGTTCATAATGAAAGACTCATGATTCTTCCAGACACTACTCAATTATACCAAATCATTTTAAAAATTACCAAAACTAAATTTCAGATGTTATGTGATGACATTTATCTGTCCAGTTATCCAATCACATAATCTTATGCAATATGAAAAAATTAGCAAAAACACATGGATGGAAACATTGCCACTGACAGGATCTATGGGTTCAACTGTAAAACTGTAATTTCAGAAAGTCAACTTACGGTGCATCTTTCCTTCAGCCATGTTATATTTATATCTGCAATGACAGAAACCAGCATGAAGACAATAATAAAATACTGCTGTGAATGAAAATTCAGATGTGTCAGACAAAACTTTAGAAAATAATCTCATAAAGTTCTACTTATATTGTGTTTTATTCATTTTGAACTGAGTCCAGATCGAGTGGAAGTGTCTCACTTTAAACTGTTATGATGTTTCTCCATTAGGAGCAGAACTCATGTTACCAGCACATCAAACTATCAGTAAGAAATCACAGTGCTAAACTGGATGGATGCATCCATAATTGACCATTCACCATACACAGCAAAATCCCCAGTGTTAAATCAACACTGCTCAGAGTGTATATAGTCCCACTCTACAGAGTGTTAAAGTAACACTGAAGCAGTGTTAAAGTTAATGAGATAATTAAAGGGTTAGTTCACCCAAAAATGAAAATTATGTCATTAATTACTCATCCCCATGCTGTACCAACCCCGTAAGACCTTCGTTCGTCTTCGGAACACAAATGAAGATATTTTTGATTGAATCTGAGAGCTGGATCACTCCTTCATAGACTGCCTAAGGGACTGGCTCTTGACGGCCCATAAAGTCATTAAAGAAAAGGTTTAAATATTCCATGTGCCTACAGCGGCTCAATTATACGTTTATCAAGCGACGAGACTACTTTTTGTGCGAAAAAAACATAAATAACGACTTTATTCCACTATTCCATTACTTCCTTATGGGCGCATGCGCGAGAACTGAGACGAGGACGTTCTCATTCGTCTACTTCTTGTTACCGGCTGCTCACCGCTTAGGAGTTTTACCCCCACCTATCGTATAAGATACATACATTAGAAAACATTCAGGAAATAAGCCAATAGAGACACAGTGTGTTACATTACCAGGTGATATGGTCACTGGTGTGACAGTTGTAGGGCTGGTGTTAATGCTGCCAGTGTCTGAAAGTTTGGATGAATAATGATTAATCAACAGAAACACAAATATCATGAATGTGTAGAAAGAGCTCATGTGAATATAATTACCTGCACAGTATGCTGAATTACAGACAGTTGGACTGACCAGTTCATAGACATAATAATCTCCTGGACAGGCTTTGACTTTAATGGGATAAGACCCGATATAGCAGCAGAAACTCCCACCGTCACCGCAGACATCTCGAGTGACGACTCCATCTGTTACTGTTGGGTGTCCACCACGGATCCACAGTGGGGTATCAGTGCCACATCTGGACCTCGCAACACACGTGTCTGGGATATGAGCGCTCATGCTGTTAATGAAGAGACGATACCAGCCGCTCCAGGAGACAGACGCGTCACAGTTTCTGACTGGAGCATTTGTATTATTGATGGATCTCCATGGATTGTTCAGGACAGTGTAGGTGTTGCAGGGGTCTGACAGATTAGATGTAGTGAAAATATATTAAGAAATTAACAAGTTTCTGAAAAACATGTTTTATTACAAAATGTAACCAAAATTGCAGCATCAGACATTATTTTTTTTGTCTTCTTCTTTTGCTGATTCAGAGCGATTCATTTCAATCCACAATATTTTTTCAAATGCACTTATAGTATTATTTAAACATCAATACATCTTAAAGAAAATCTTTTAAATTGGAAGTAAACACGTTACACACCAGTATAATCATTTACATATTATTATTTTTAAAAGATTTTATTTCCGTTTTAGAAATGACCACTTTAAAATGACCATTGTTAGGTTTTCAGTGGGAATCCTGGTACATAAACTAATATTAAAGTAACAATCTGGTATTCAGTTTCCTCCATATTCCATATGCATAAAATGAAAAAAAAAATTTTTTTAAAGGGGTCATAAACTGGCTTTTTAAATTTCATTATATTGTTGTCTGAGGTCAATTTAAGGCATTCGCTTGGTTTTTGCATTCAAAAACATCAAAATGAATAAGTAATAGTCTATTTTGTACCCTAATTTTTAGCCTAGCTGAAAAACGCTGGGTTTTTATGGGCGACTCGCACTGAAGACTTGGAAGTAAACGGCCACTGCTGTGAGTGGATAACAGATTTGCATATTATAATGAGTTTTGACTCACTCGTCGATGCACTTGGGGGAAATTGTTTTGAAAACGTCCAATGTTGTAAAATGGCAACCGGAATGATTCGCCCATACATGTTCGACCCAGAGTCCGTGTGTTGCACCATTCCTGTCAGATCCAATATAGACGGCACAGCACGTTCTTTACTCTTAATCGCTCTGCAAATCCAGTCTTGTTTACAAAACAATCCTCAGTGAAATGAAGCGAACAGACGACGATGTTTTACCTCATCAGCTGGAACGTCATTAAAAATAAAGTTTATCCGTGCAGTCCTATTGGAATCCAGAGGAAGCTTATGCAGCGACTGTCTTCTTCCACAACCAGGATATTCACACAATATTCTGTATTGCTCGATCTGGTTTGTCATCACGAGGTAGGAATCTATGTTTTTTTAACTATGCATGCGTGAATCGGTGGGCGGGGCTAAACCGGCCGTGTTGAAGTAGGCTTTGATCTTCCTCTGCGGGGGTGGTGTTTTATCCTCTTTGACGTCATAGTTCCCCACTTTGAAAAATGAGTCGCTTGCTGAGCCTGGTGTCAATAAAAGCTTTTATTGGACTAACAAGGACGTTTTCAGTTCTGAAACGTACATATTCTTATAATATGATGACCCCTTAGATGTCAAAAGCTCAAAGAAAATTTGATTTCTCAGTTCATCACCCCTTTAAACAAAATGATTTGACTAAAACAACAGACACAGTTTTAGGTAATAGTGGCCCACAGCTGATCAGCAGAAGTATTTCAGTAAGACAGTGATAACACGAGTTATTTCTACTTGATTTAAATTCTAATTTTGTTGTTGTGACCTAATTCAATCAGATTTCTAGCCTGGCATGCCAGACCTACATCAAGATGTTAGGTCTGGAAACTCTTCATTGACAGGGCTCAATCCGAGAGGCGGGATTAACGATTGTCTTTCAAATTCTCTCTGCACGCAATTGGATAGCGCTAAAGCCAATCAGAGCAACAAAGACGGTGACGTAGGCTACTCAGCGGAGCAAGTTGATATATTAAACTGTCACCGTATCCAGTCCAGCTGTCAACATTGAACATTGAAAATAAGGGAGATTTCCCGGAATCCATCCCCAAAATAAGGGATTTTTTTTTGTTCGTTTTTTACACGACCCACAAACTTTAAAAATAAAACACTAATCATTAAAAGTCTAAAGAGTTTATAACTAGCCAACATATGTGTGTGAGAGAAAGAGACAGTATGTGTGTGTGTGTGTTTGTGTGTGTATGAGAGAGAAGAGACAGTGTGTCATTAAAAAAACAATATTATAGAGATTGTTTAAATATTAATATCAGCTTACGAGGGAAAAGGAGCCGGAGTAGTGGCACTTCGGGGTGGTGGAGATGATTCGGGAGAGGTCCGTGCACCTATACCGATCAGAGCGCGCGCTGACACGGAGTAAAGCCTTTATACTCGACGTGACAGCACGCGGGCGGCAAATATGACAAGTTGATCATCTCGCCACAGCTTTTTTGTAACAGCACGCGCGGCGCCGGTCGCATCCGAGGATGAACGACTCAACCGAATATGTCCGAGCTTGCTCTGACCGTCGCAACTCTGTCGTCATTTTGTTAAGCCCGCCCGCTGACTCTATACACGATGTGATTGGCCCTACCAGAGTTGGGGTTTCCCAGCTCAAACGTCTATGGAGAGTTGCTAGACCACACTTTGCTGCAAAATAATTTTTGCTGCCGCTAGGGTGCGTCTAGATTTCTAGGCTATCAGATTTCTGTAACATAAAACAATGCTGATTGAACTTAATTGAGTTACATTGATCCTATACACAACTTCCACTAAAGCTCAGGATGGCCAGATTGGACACGTGCGCACTACGACTGCACCAGACCTATAGAGGGCAGTATAGTCGTGACTCGTGTCAGCTACAGGACGTCTGCTCTGAAGAACACAGAAGAAGAAAGGGTGTGTGTTTGGCTGCTTCTTGCTGATTGGTCAATTTTGCCTCATTAAGAAATAGTTGGTTCCAGTCCTTGATTCTGATTGGTCAATAACTGTGTTTTATTGAGAATAAAGACAGCTATGATTGGATCAGCCAATGGTTCTATGTGTCACTACACAACACCCCTAGCAACGTGAACATAAGTGCTCATTCATATTGTTCATTAAGGCTAATGTGTATGCGCTGTGTGCTCTCCGCTTTTTACGTTCACAGAACCAAGATTGAATATTTGGAGAACACTCTTGTAACTAAACTCTGTTAGATGGGAAGCTTTGTGTTTTATAATAAAATAAACATTTATTTAAATCACGCTGACACACACGTTAGATAAAGTATTATGTCTAAGTCTAACCCTGAGAAATCCACTGTAGCAATGGATTAACAAAAATCAACTGGAGGAAACAATATGTTACTACTGTATTTTCTACAGTAGAGTACTGGCAACAACAGCTGATGTTTTTATTGAATTATAGTCGTGCAGTGAATATTTTATTCTTCTGACACAAGCACACATCTATCCAATGGTACAGAGCGGTGTTTCCTAAAAGCATCGTAAGCCTTAGTTGATCGTAGAGGCCATTGGTGTCCGCTGCTCTGCCATCAACTCAGACTTATGATGATGATTTTGGGAAATACAGCCCTGATCTGTAGACTACATACATTAGAAAACATTCAGGAAATAAGCCAATAGAGACACAGTGTGTTACATTACCAGGTGAGATGGTCACTGGTGTGACAGTTGTAGAGCTGGTGTTAATGCGGTCAGTGTCTGAAAGTTTGGATGAATAATGATTAATCAACAGAAACACAAATATCATGAATGTGTAGAAAGAGCTCATGTGAATATAATTACCTGCACAGTATGCTGAAGTACAGAGAGTTGGTCTGACCAGTTCATAGACATAATAATCTCCTGGACAGGCTTTGACTTTAATGGGATAAGACCCGAAATAGCAGCAGAAACTCCCAGCGTTACCGCAGACATCTCGAGTGACGACTCCATCTGTTACTGTTGGGTGTCCACCACGGATCCACAGTGGGATAGAAGTGCCACATCTGCCCTGAGCAACACACGTGTCTGGGATATGAGCGCTCATGCCGCTAATGAAGAGACGATACCAGCCGCTCCAGGAGACAGACGTGTCACAGTAGGTGTTATATCCATTATTGATGGATCTCCATGGATTGTCCAGCATAGTGTAGGTGTTGCAGGGGTCTGACAGATTAGCTGTAGTGAAAATATATTAAGAAATTAACAAGTTTCTGAAAAACATGTTTTATTACAAAATGTAACCAAAATGGCAGCTTCAGACATTACTTTTTTTCTTCTTCTTCTTTTGCTAATTCAGAGCGATTCATTTCAATCCACAATATTTTCTCAAATGCACTTATAGTATTATTTAAACATCAATCTTAAAGAAAATATTTTAAACTGGAAGTAAACATTTATGACCAAAGAACCATCAATATCCAAGCATCGCTATCTTCCAAGCATCGCTATCTTCGTCTGATACATCATCCTCCGACTCATCGCTGTCACGCCGAGTACACTGCTCAATTACATCTTCTAATAAGAAGTGTGTTTTGCTGGTTTTCAGCCATTTTTGAACCTCGAACCTTCTCTCACTCCAAAAACGTGTTCAACTGTCTTTTGCGCACAGGCGCACTAGTCACTATGCAACTTTGCGCATGAACTTCACGTGTGAAAGGTTGAATCCTCCCAGATAGCAACTGACTCCAGAACGGATCTACCACGGAGATAAGAACGAGGTCCGGAACGGAGTCCACTTGCACAGCGCAACGGATCCGGAACAGATAAGGATTGCAGATCCAGACTGTTATATGGATGGCTGATGAACCCAAAAGCAGACAGCAACTGATTCTCAAAGGGGTTTATTTAGGGACAAAAACAGAAAGCAAAACCCACAATGGGGCAAGACAAGACAGGGTAGAACACACTAGACTCGGACTATAAACTAACAACTAAAACAGGAACAAACTTTTCTTGAAGACAAGACTCTCAACAGGTTACTCACAGATAGATACAAATGCAAAGTATGACCATGTCAAACAATGAACCCACACAGGACAGCAAACACAAGGGGATTAAATAGGGAACACTAATGACGAGGACAGGTGAAACTGACTAGACAATGAAGCACAAGACAAGGATAACAAGGGGGCGGGGTAACTTAACGAGACAACACAAGCACATGGCCCAAACTGGCCATGCGCTTGCACACAAAACATGATTCTGTCATGATCCTGCTTCACGACTAGAGGAATTCAAGGACAAGAAGGCAGAATCATGACACAGACTAGATCCGCGGCAGACCCTATCCGGATCCGATCTGGACCCGTTCATTTCGGTCTGAAAACCTTTCAGATCACTCATTCAAAACTAGTAATCTAGCCAAAACTACAAAAATATTTCAAATCTATTGGTGGACCAACTAAACAACATGATGTCCAAAGGATGTCTTTTCAACGTCTTTGTCACAAAAGTCGGATGCTTAAAAGACGTCCACTGAGGAGCCAGAATTAAAAGTTTTATGACGTGTTTTTTTGACGTGTCGCACGTCCGATATAGACGTTCATCAAACCTTCGTACAAGTTTAAAAACTAGGTCAAATGTGGCCATCGTGTTTAAAACTCATGTTTATATCAATGTAATTTCAAATGTTTATATCAAAAATAATTTCGATGTTCTGTGCCTTACTGAAACCTGGCTTAAACCAAATGAGTATTTCGGTCTAAATGAGTCTAGTCCACCAGGATACTGTTATAAGCATGCATGAGCCTTGTCCGATCGGTCGTGGTGGCGGTGTTGCAACAATCTATAAAGATATTTTTAATGTTACTCAGAAAACAGGTCACAGGTTTAATTCATTTGAAGTACTTGTGCTAAATGTTACGCTCTCAGATGTAAGAAGGAAATCCATATTATCTCTAGCCCTGGCTACTGTATATAGACCTCCAGGGCCATATGCTGAATTCCTAAAAGAGTTCGCAGACTTTCTCTCGGATCTATTGGTAAATGTCGATAAAGCAATAATTGTTGGAGATTTTAACATTCACGTAGATAATACAAATGATGCGTTAGGCGCTGCGTTTACAGAGACATATTAAAATCCTTTGGGGTCAAACAAAACGTCAGTGGTCCCACACATCGTCTAAATCATACACTAGATTTAATTATATCATATGGAACCGATCCAACTGATGTAGATATTATACCGCAAAGCGATGACGTCACTGATCATTACATGGTGACTTGCATAATACGTACTGCTGAAATATGTCATGTTGCGCCACGTTATAGACCAGGCAGAACAATCCTTCCAACCACTATAGATGGATTCTCAAATAACCTGATCTATCTAAATTGCTAAGTGAACCCAAACAAACAGATGAATTAGAGGAAATGACTAGCAGTTTGAGCACCATTGTCACTAGTACATTAGATATTGTTGCACCAATTAGATTAAAAAAGGTTAGAGAGAAAACTAAAGCACCCTGGTACAACAGTGCTACGCATGCTATCAAGAGAGAAACCCGTAAGTTAGAGCGTAAATGGAAACAAACGAATTTAGAGGTCTTTAGAATCGCGTGGAAAGACAGTATAGTATGTCACTTTATAAAAAGGCTCTAAAAACAGCCAGGGCTGAGCATCTTCGCAAGCTAATAGAAAATAACCAAAATAATCCAAGGTTTTTATTTAACACCATGGCTAGACTAACGTCTCGGTTATGGATGTAACCCTCGTTCCCTGAGTAGGGAACGGAGACGTGACGTTGGAATGACGGAGAATGTGGGTTTCGCATAGAAAGCCAATCCTCTTCGAGTATTTAAAAACGAGCCAATGGCATGAAAATGCCTTGGGTCTGCGGAATTTGCATAGCGTATCTCCGTCCCACCTCGTGGGCATAAAAGGAGGAAGCAGACGCAACCGCAGTATGTTTTCGCTTCGGAGCCAAGAGAACTTTTTCACTCCACAAGCCACACAATCTGAGTTACTACTGTGACTCACCTCTTCGAGACGAGCGAACTCTCTGGTGTTGGTGTGACGGCGGTATCCAGCGAGTTTCACATTGCCTGCGATCTGAGCAGTGGTCTGCCAGTGTGTGTGTGTCTCTCCCTGGTCGCTTCAACATCCGCGGAGTTTCTCCTCTCACTGAAAGAGTGTGCACACGACACATGTTTTTGAAGACGATCTGCCCGTGTATTCCTGAGTGCGATATTCTGATGAGTCAGCTGATGGGCGCGAGCGCTGTTTGACGTGTTTGGGCTTTGATCACGCTCAGACAGCGCTCGTGGGTGTGTCACGTTATCTCAGTGGGAACATGCAATGTATAGTCCCACTTGGTCCCGAGTGAGTTCGCGGCTGCCGAAAAAAAAAAATTAATTAAAGGGCCCGCGTTCTCATTCGGTGCCCCAGTTGATGAAATCATGTTTATCGCCGCATCACAAGGTGAGCTGTAGTTCTCTGGAGTTGGCTCGTCTGTGCTGCTGTCGGACGTGCTGGCATAGCGAGTTAGATTCAAAGTTCACAGCTATGCTTCCCGGGCTGCCACGAGTGTTGGGTTTGTTTGGAAAATTCTGCCATGTCCCGAGCACTTTAGGCTGATGATTGGATTTTGGGGGTGGCGAACCCAAATCCTTTCTATCCGTACCCAGCAATACAGCGGAAGTGGCAAGGAGACGTAACGTCTCCGTTCCCTACTCAGGGAACGAGGGTTACATCCGTAACCGAGACGTTCCCTTTCGTAGTCACTCCGAGTTACGTCAGAATGACGGAGAATGGGGGTCTGTGCCATCACGCCACCTTCACAGCTGTCTTCCAGTGCCCTGCGCAAGACCGAACTCCTAACGACTTGGCTCTGAGGAGTTCTATCTTAACACAGGAATACCAAGGTACACTGGGGAGCATATCCCGGGAGGGATATGTCACAGTACGCCTACCCAAGGGGAGCACTTAAGAATACACATATGGCCCGCGGGGCTTCATATGGGGAAATCACTGGAGTCAGCAACCTGCGGGTGGCTAGAACTTAGCTCCAGGAATGGCAGATGGCTTGCTGAGGGAAGACACATGCTCAGAGAGGCTTACAGTGGAAAATACACATGTGACAGTTACCGTAGGGAACCGTACACACGGAGGCACCTAGCCGACGACCCAGTAACACTCTGGCGCCAGCGTCAGAAGTGCTGGAGGACTCAGGGCTTCAACGGAAGGCTCAGCTGAGGAAAGTATCGCACTTATCCAGTCCGTGGAGTGGAATGGCGAGCAAGCGAAGACACCTGAGCGGGTCCAGTACTGGCCGGTTGAGCGAGTACAAGAGAGGACACGGGCTCCACTCGGAGGTTATAGGATCTCGCGAATGTGTTAGGTGTTGCCCAGCCTGCAGCTCTGCAGATGTCTGTCAGCGAGGCGCCGTGCGCTAAAGCCCAAGAGGAGGCCACACTCCGAGTGGAGTGGGCCGTCACACCAAGGGGGCACGGACGACCTTGCTGCTGGTAAGACAAAGCAATGGCGTCCACTATCCAGTGAGACAGCCGCTGCTTTGAGAGAGCCCTTCCCTTCTGGCTCCCCCCATGACAGACAAAGAGCTGGTCTGAGGTCCTGAAACACTGCGTTCTGTCGACATAGGTGCGGAGAGCACGTACCGGACAGAGCAGTGCCAAGGCTGGGTCTGCCTCCTCCAGGGGCAGGGCTTGCAGGTTCACCACCTGGTCCCGGAAGGGAGTGGTGGGAACCTTGGGCACATATCCGGGCCGGGGTCTTAAGATCACGTGAGAGTAAGCCGGCCCGAACTCCAGGCACGCTTCGTCAACGGAGAATGCGTGCAGGTCCCCTACCCTCTTGATGGAGGCCAGTGCAACCATGAGTGCTGTCTTCATCGACAAAAATTTAATCTCAACTGATTGCAGAGGCTCGAAGGGAGGCCTCTGCAGGGCACTTAAAACCACTGAGAGGTCCCAAGAGGGTACGAGAGGGGGGCGAGGAGGATTCAGTCTCCTCTCACCCCTCAGGAACCTGATGATCAGGTCGTGCTTCCCCAATGACTTACCTTCAACTGCTTCATGGAACTCGGCGATTACAGCCACGTATACTTTGAGGGTGGAGGGAGATAGCCTTCACTCCAGCCCTTCTTGCAGGAAGGAAAGCACGAATGAGACCGAATGAGAACGCGGGCCCTTTAATTAAATTTTTTTTTCCGGCAGCCGCGAACTCACTCGGGACCACGTGGGACTATACATTGCGATGGTCACGTTTCCACTGAGAGAATGTGACACACCCACGAGCGCTGTCTGAGCGTGATCAAAGCCCAAACACGTCAAACAGCGCTCGCGCCCATCAGCTGACTCATCAGAATATCGCGCTCAGGAATACACGGGCAGATCGTCTTCAAAAACATGTGTCGTGTGCACACTCTTTCAGTGAGAGGAGAAACTCCGCGGATGTTGAAGCGACCAGGGAGAGACACACACACTGGCAGACCACTGCTCAGATCGCAGGCAATGTGAAACTCGCTGGATACCGCCGTCACACCAACACCAGAGAGGTGTTGTTCAACAGTTGACATAGTTCTTAAATGCTTTGCAAACTATGGCAGAAGACAATAGCAGGGTTTAAACCCCAGTTGTGCAGGAGGGGCATGTTGTCACACTGCGTTATAATTTGCACCTAAATATGCTATTATATTCTATACTTTTATGAATTCTATTGAGAAAACACGAGAAACATGTAAATAAAGACTGAGAGTCAATGTTCAGAAATTATTAAATATTATTTTGTTTTGAACTATGCTGTATAGCTGTGTTTTCCAGTTTGTTTGTTGTCAAACTCAAAATTTAGATTATTTTTATATGAAAAAAGTTAATAATTGTATTTTTTTAAGTAACTTTGCAACTGCATGTCAACTTATTCTATCCCTAACCCTATCAGTTTACTAATAGTCTACTACCACTGTAGTGAGAGTTAGTAGAGACGTAGGTGCTGACCATCCAAATAAAGTGAAAACCAAGATTTCATAGAGGCCATTGGTGTCCGCTGCTCTGCGATCAACTCAGACTTATGATGATGCTTTTGAGAAATACAGCCCTGATAGACTACATACATTAGAAAACATTCAGGAAATAAGCCAATAGAGACACAGTGTGTTACATTACCAGGTGAGATGGTCACTGGTGTGACAGTTGTAGAGCTGGTGTTAATGCGGTCAGTGTCTGAAAGTTTGGATGAATAATGATTAATCAACAGAAACACAAATATCATGAATGTGTAGAAAGAGCTCATGTGAATATAATTACCTGCACAGTATGCAAGAGTGCATAAATTTGGTCTGACCAGTTCATAGACATAATAATCTCCTGGACAGGCTTTGACTTTAATGGGATAAGACCCGAAATAGCAGCAGTTATTGTCCCAGTAACCGCAGACATCTCGAGTGACGACTCCATCTGTTACTGTTGGGTGTCCACCACGGATCCACAGTGCGATGTGAGTGCCACATCTGCTATGATAAGGAACACACGTGTCTGGGATATGAGCGCTCATGTTGTTAATGAAGAGACGATACCAGCCGCTCCAGGAGACAGACTGGTCACAGTAGGTGTTATATCCATTATTGATGGATCTCCATGGATTGTCCAGCACAGTGTAGGTGTTGCAGGGGTCTGACAGATTAGCTGTAGTAAAAATATATTAAGAAGTTTCTGAAAAACATGTTTTATTACAAAATGTAACCAAAATTTCAGCTTGAGACATGACTTTTTCTTCTTCTTCTTTTGCTGATTCAGAGCGATTCATTTCGATCCACAATATTTGTTTCAAATGCATTTATAGTATTATTTAAACATCAATACATCTTAAAGAAAATCTTTTAAATTGGAAGTAAACATGTTAAACACCAGTATAATCATTTACATATTATTATTATTATTATTATTAAAAGATTTTATTTCCATTTTAGAAATGACCACTTTAAAATGACCATTGTTAGGTTTTCAGCGGGAATCCTGATACATAAACTAATATTAAAGTAACAATCTGGTATTCAGTTTCCTCCATATTTCATTATGCATAAAATGTTTAAACTAAATGATTGCACTAAATAGCAGTATTTAATTTTACAGAAAATAATGAAGTTTCTACTCAGCATGTGAAGTGTATTCCAGTAGTGTCCTCAACACTGTATCAGTGTTTGATCGGGTCTGACTCTAAACTACTATTGAGAGAGACAGAGATCTGTCGTTCACTCAGCGACAGTCAGTGTTTTACTGAGAAGAGATCAGACACGAGCTGCTCAGAAAACTGTCACTGAGTTACAGACCAGACAGAGAATGCTGTCATGAATCAGATGGATTTGTAATCCTTTAAGGTCCCATACACTCAAAAAAACCAAATGCTCCACTCTTCTCCACAATGGTAATAAACCGTAATTTAAATGGTTCAATAATTGCAATATAATTTAACGTTAAACACAATTATGCACTACCAAAGTCTTCCCCTTTTCTCATTTTCTTAAAAACACACAAATAACTCTTATTTTTAACATGTATTCTCTCTTATTTCAACCACCACCCAGTTTCAGTTAAGGTAAAACAAATCAATCATGTAATCAAACACAAACAGATTAAGTAAACTTAAATTGTACATATTTAAGCAGATTGAACACAATCAAATTAAGTTGAAAATGGCAGTCGACTCGCACTATACTGCCACCCTCTGGATGTAAGAATTTTTTACTTAACATAAATGGTTTGTGTTTAGAAAACACGTTAGGATTTTGTACTGTTAAGTTGAGACATAATTACATACACCTTAATAGAAAAAAAAACACAACTATTATAAGTAAGCTAAATATAACTATATTGTGCACTACCTTAGTTCTTTTCTTTTTTTTTGTGTACATTACCTGCAGTCGTCACCGGTGTTACAGTTGAAGAGGCCAAGTACAGTCTTAAGACATCTAAAAAATAATTATAAATACAAATGAATCAACATGTTACATAGAACACTATGAAATATCAGTCAAATAAACATACTTTAATATAAGCTTTTACTTAAAGTAACAGTTTGCCTAAAAATTAAAGTTCTGTCATTGTGACTTCCACAGAATAATGTATTGTCCATTCTGGAAATTATTAGTATCCTCATCCATCTTTCACACATAATGAAATTCTTAAGCCTTTTCTGTTCAAACTAACAAAAAATAAAAATAAAAAATTGCGCCAAAAAAACAAAAACAAAAAAACAAAACACAATTGCAGCACTAGGCCTACATTGTCTATATGAAGGTTCAGGTTCAGGTTAGTTTATTGGTACCCATAGGTAAACTAGTTTTACAGTCTGAGAGGCATCAACATCCATCGTTGAAACATAACATTCAACATACCAAACATTAAAACATATAAAAAACAACAAGTGATAAATACATAAAAATAAAATAAAAAAGGGAAGGACCAAGTTTAGTACATAACCAGGTTGCTTATATGTTTTGTACAGATAAATTTACTGTTTGTTTAGCATAGTGATTGCTGCTGGTATAAAACTGTTTTTAAATCTAGTGGTCCTGTAGCCAGGAACTCTTAGCCTCCGTCCAGAGGGGAGATACAAAAATTACCAATTCAAAGGATGTAGTTTATCTTTTTTTAATAGCCATACCTAACCGATGTAGCTGTTTAGCATACAGGGATGTGGGGTGCAGCTGGGACTCCCCAGTCAACTTACTTGCCCATTTTACTATTTGATTTAGGCTGTTCTTGTGCTTGACCAAGACACAACCAAACCATACAACCAGGGAAAAAGATATGATGGTTTCGATAAAAGCACGATAAAATAATGTCATCATAGTCTTGTTAAAATGGTAAAATTTTCTTAGACAGTATCAACGCTGTTGTCCTTTTTTTACAAACAGCCTCACAGTTCTCCTGGAAATTTAATTTAGAGTCAATAATTGTCCGTAGATATCTATAGGATTGTACTTGATCCACTAACTGACCATTTATAGTTGTGGCCTCATATCCTTGAGTTTTTCCAAAATGGATATTCTTATCCTTTGTTTTGGATATGTTCGGTTGAAGGTGCGACTCCTCGCACCATTGGACAAGTCTTCAGTTATTGGACCATGACCTCTATCATTTTTATGGAGCAGGCTTACTATGACAGAGTCATCCGCATCTTTGATTATGGTCCTAATTACATATTTACTCTGACACGTGTTTGTATATAAAATGAACAAAAGGGGTGAAAGTACAAACCCCTGTGGTAAACCTGTGGAAGAGCAAAGCTGACCAGACAGAGCTCTATTCACCTTTACTCTCTGTGTCCTGTTCATTAAAAAATCCAAAATCCAACCCACGAGACTGGACCAAAATCAAATGAGACCGTTGGCTAAAATATACGGTTGAATTGTGTTAAAAGCAGATGAAAAATCAATGAAAAGAATTTGTGCATGGGACCCACTTCCTTCAAGATGTTTGAGGAGCAAATGAAGCAGAGTGAGAGTGGCCTTATGAACACCTATAGCATAGTAATTCAGGACCAGGGAATTTACTGTGTGACATGACATGAAGAATAAACAAGATCTGATTCACTGGTCATTACATCAGCATACAGACAAAAAGCAAAAAACATGGTTTAGACTTACACAGAATCCCAGAGATGAGAGGATGAGCTTTTATAAAACCTGAAATATGAAGAACAAGTCAATAAAAATAACTGAAGTTGTATTGGATTGAGTCTGAGAAAACTACATTCATCATCTGTTCACAGCTCATGAGGTTTTCGAGAGTTCGAGAGCTAACCTTTAAACACAAGACGATACTCACCTTTATGAAAGGAAGCCATTGTCAGTTTGGACAGTCCAGTTTTTGTTTATTCACAAACCAGTTCAGAGGACGAGTTTCCTTTACAGTTAGAGAATATACAAATTAGCCATTGCATTTACATAAACAATAATAATAATAATGCAAACACACATATACAACATTTCAGCATTTGATTTTGAGACTTTTAAAACAGTTTTTGCCAAGCATTATGCAATAAAGGATGAAACAACTCGATCAATTCCTCATTCTACGAGGTAGCTATTGGCTAATTCATACGAATGACTGACCCCTGACCCCGCTCCTAAACCTACACTCTAAAAAGAGATTGTTGTGTCACTTTTAACACATGTAGTGAGTGTGTTCAGGCACAACACATGTTTTGTCAAATTTAGCACAGTAAATGTGCAAGTTATTTTAACACACAAATTGTGTCATTTTAAAAAATAAAGCAAAAGGGGCAGATATAAAAATATGAATCATTTAATCAATAGTCGAGTACAGAATGCATGTGCACACAAAGAACAAGATACTGTTTCAAGCTCAATGACTGAACAGACTCACTGCACTGTACATTATTCAGTTATTCAAATTCAACCCCTGATTGATAATGCTGCTTTTGACAATAGTTCATGAAGAGAAAACAGTTTACCGAATTTGCACATTAGAATAAAATATAGAACCTGACAAAATTTGGTAAATAAATAAATAAATAACTTTTATTTAAACAGTTGGGTTTGTTTGAGAAACACAGCAAACACTGCACACCATTCACAGTGATGGTGAGTGTCAGTGCACTAAAAAAGATGTTAAAGATGACACATGTTGTGAAGATTTTAACACATGTGGTCTAGATTTTAACACGTGTGTATTAGGGCTGGGCTATATATCGCATGACATCCTTGATTAGTAGTAAATCGCCTTCACCTGCTTTCAGATGGACGATATGATGCAGATATGAGTGTTAAATTAACATTCAAGAGTGTTAAAGTTAATGAGATAATTAAGTGATTAATTTAGTGATGGTTGAGCATTATTGAAGACACCTGATGATAACAAGCAGAATCACTGAAGGAGAAAATCACAAATTGTAAGCCACCGTTATAGTGATCAGTGTTTGATTTAGTTGGACTCTTGACACTTATACATTCACTTTAAATGTGTTTGTCTGCTGTTATTGATTTATAACAGTCAAATGAACAAAGAAAAGTGTCCTCTAATAGTGTTGATTATGTTTTGGCACAGTCATGTTGTGATCTGAAAAATTAAACTTATTAAGATGATTTGGTTTGACTTGTTAGCAACAGCTTTGTGATTCTACAACATATAATTACCAGTAATTTACTTATAATCCAAAATATTTAATAAACATCGCTCTGATAAAAACATTTTCAAACAAATTTATGTAGAAACACAAACATCAATAATCAGCCTGTGGATCTCAACAATGGTGACAATAATAATGCATGTTGCAGTGGCCCCCCTATTTGAGGGTTGCCCCCCCAAAAAAAACATTAAAATATGTGTATTGTAAATAATGTAATGATATATTCTTAAAATAATTAAGAAATAAAATAACACAAATGCAAAGGGGGCAATAACGAAAAAAGCGTTCTAAACATTTTGAGACCGTGTTCAAAACCCTGCTGCGCCACAGAGCACCATTTACATAGTTTTATATACAGTTTAAATTATTTTTGTCTCAAATCAGTGCTAATGGATCCTGCCCTATGCTGCAATATACATTTAGTTTTGCATTCATTTATAGAAATCAGCTGCTTGAATGACAATTGCTGATGTTATTGGATTTTTCAGGTGAGATTCTCAGTTCATTCCGTCAACGGATGCTCTGAGGTAAAGTTTTCAGACGACAGACTCAGCAACAATTGTATTTAATTGTACAGTACAATAATAATATAGAACAGACATTATCTGTATTTCATGTCATTAAACATTACAATATTGCTGGCCGTACACTGATGAGAAAGTGCGCGTCCGGTGTGCGATACCTGGAGTTGTCCTAGGCGCGGCGCGGCGCTTCTCGACCCCCCTTTAGTCAATGTTATTTTATTCATTTTAAACATCGGATGAAGTGATTATTTTCTCTTTAATATAAATTATGCTGAGTCATTATAATAAATCATGTCAAAAAACAAATATATGATTGTGTAACCAATGTACTTTTGTCACTGATGCAGTCTGCTATGTTAGCGATTATAACGTTACCCTTCTTTGTTTATAATAGTGTATGCATTTACCTAGCTTGTTTAATACAGTATATCCCCACACACAAACACACAGAGTGTACACACACACTACTACGTGATGTAACGTCAGTCTTGTAGATTAGACTAGTCCGGGTGCGCCGTGCATTTAGATTTTAATGCTTTCACTGTGATTTAGTCGGTTTATATCATTTAATATAGTTAAAGAGTGAGTCGATGAATAAAATGAGTACGTAAACGGATTCACCGCTGGCTTAAACCAGAAAGAAATTTTAAGAAGTATATGGTCTCCATGCTACACTAATAATAGTAGTAAGGCTTTTCTCTGTATTTTTTTGCCTGTATTATTGGTGTCCCCTTCAAAATTTGCTCTTGAGATTTGTTATGTTTATTGTCACACCCAACATTTTGATGAAATTTTCGCCCCTGGCTGACACTAATCACGATTCTGGTGACTTCAACTGAAACATTCAATGAATCGTCAGCACAAAAACTGGAAAATTCTCAATAAGAGTTTCCATAGACGTCTGACAAAAATAAATAGTTTGTTATAATAAATTAGTTATTAATAACAAGTCAAAGCAAAAAACGTTGCAAAAGAGTCATGATGTGATTGGCTGCCAAAAAACACCCGTTAATCTTTACGTTTTTATGAATTAAGATTTTATTCATTTATTGTTATTTATTGTTTTTTTTTTTGGAGCTTTTAATGGGATACCGTATAAAATACACCTATAATTATTTTCATAAACACAAACTTCCCTCCACCCAGTGCTATTCTAAGTTACATTTTTACACACATTGTGTTAAAAATCTACACAATATGTTGCGTGTTTTTTTTAATGCTTCTCATTTTAGAGTGCACATTCTAACCCTAACCCTGTGAGTTAAAAATCTACACAAATGTGTCAAAATGC